CCTTGCCTCTGAACAAACTGGGGTTTTTGTTTTTCTATATATTTATGTTTTTCAGTTACAAAAAGAAAAAAACCCATCTGTCACAAGACAATGTAATTTTCAATGACTAAATGAATTATTCTTTTGGTTTGGTTTCTAAAGCCAGAGCTTTAGAAAAGCCTTAATAGTATAACACGCTATTGAAATCGTTTCCACCCTTTAACCTTCTGTAAGCGAGCACACTGACATTGGATCACAGGAAGAAGAGGGGTCTTTTCTGGGGCAAAGCTGTGATGTCTATCGGGGTGGGCGTGGGGGCTTCGACTGACTCAGCCTGGACTCGGGATCAAGGCAGATTCTTTCCTTGGCTCTTGGCACACAGGTATAAACTGTGCCTGCACCTGGTGACCTGGTGGTCAGACTTGCTCAGAACGGTGAAGAGGACAGGGTTTCCAAGGGTCCATGTTGACCAGACCCTCTTTTCTTTCCTGATTTCGCTGCCCAGACCCCGTCTTGCAGTTGGTGGATCTCTGTGGCTAACCTTTGGCTAGAATTGGAAAAAGGAATGTGTGTTTCTTTAGTCCTGGTCCCAGAACTCCTTTTTCATGGCCTTCCACCTTTTCACTCTTTCTTCCTGCCCCGGCCAGATGTTGAGCGTCCAGGGGTGGGCACCAGGAAGCTCCAGTAACCCCACAGAACAAAACCCACCCTTCAATTTATAGTAGGGTTTGTGATGGGCGAGAAACAAGCCCTGACTGTGGTGTCAGCCCACCAGGACTGTGGATGTTTGTTACAGAGGCTAGCCGTGCCCATTGATAAGGACTTGGCACATAGTAGGTGTTCAATAAATACTAGTGTGGGGCTTTTCCCCTTCTGTTCTTCCCCAGGAAGCACAGAGTGCGAGAATCCTCAGGGCGCCTGAATGAGAAGAGCGGGCAGGGAACGTCTGAGCGGAGCCCCGAGAGGAAGGCGGGCAGGGAGCAGGGGAGGCTCACAGTCCCTTTCAGACCTGCCGGGTCGGCAGGAGAGAGCGGTCCCGGCAAGCCCGTGTCTGTGGAGGCAGTCCCCCTGCAGCCCTCACTAACTCCCTTTTGGGGTGGCGGAGACCATCTGCGCAGACAGGGAGGGTAAAAAGCAGAGTGTCTGGACAGCCGGGTTGTTCGGGGGCTCTCTCTGGTGGTGAAGCCCCCACAGACGAGGACAGCCCCCTGGTTAGCACAGTGCCTAACACACAGTTGGCACGCACTGGTGCTAGTTTAATTCTTCGTTTCTCTGTTCGCTTCTACGTCCCTCCTTGCAGGGAGTGTGTTGAGACCCCCTTCCGCTGGGTCGTACACAGAAAGGGCATGTGGAATAAGTGTGTCATCTCATGGGGTCTGGGAGGGGCTGATTTTCGTAGACTGGCTGGGAACTGGGCGTGGGCCTGTACCGGAACTTTCTGTCACCTCCCGTAATTCCTAGTCCCAGTAAAGATACTCACTAGCTCTCTCTGGATCCTACCGGCTACAGCCCAAGGAGCAGGCTTGCAGGTCAGAAGCTTCACTGCCTGCAGCCATTGCTGTGGCCCAGGTTCTGTGAGGGGGCCTTTCCTCAATCTGGAGGGGTTGTCAGGTAGCCCAGTGGGTGTCCATGAGGAATGTGCGCAGCGCTCTCACTGGGGGACTTGGGGGAGCAATTCTGGGGCCGCTGGCTGTAGGGAAAACTCCCCGTGGTAGACTGCGTCTTGTGTGAGAGCGGTTGAAATGCGTCCATGAGGTACGGAGGGGCCGTCTTCTCTTTAGTATGACAAATGAAAGTTATTTTCTTAGAACCTGACTTTCTGATAATATGTCCTACTTATAATGTGTTATTATTTTTCTGGAGGTTTAAAACCCAATGAACAATAAGTACCTGACTTTGACACTTTAGGTAGCAGCCCTGACACAGGTGGCATCCAAGGACTCGGTATTAGCACCGGACGCGGAGGGGTCTGCTGCACATTTGGACTTTTCCACGGACGGTTGTCGTATTTTGAGGGCACTCTTTGATCCGTGCGCTCTGAACTGCTTTGGGTTCTGAATTCAGTTCCTACTCAAGTTCCTTGGCAGGAAGCCAGGGTCAAGCATGACATTTGGGGATAAATTAATCTCCGCCTAATTCGTCTTGGCTAATGACTGGATTAAACTAGTAAAATGTGTATTGTTTCTTCCCTGCCTTCCTTCCTGCAACAGACATTTGTAGTATGCCTTCTTGTGGGAGTCCATTCCAGTAGTTAAAGATCAGTTCATTTTTCAGACTTATTTTAAAGGAAATATAATAAAGCTGGAGCTTTTAGCCAAGTCTGGACAGGTGTGAGGTATTTGCTCTAATGTAGGAGTCAGCAAACATTGTCTGTAGAGGGTCAGGCAGTAAATATTTTTGGCTCTGCAGGCCGTACGGTTTTGAAACAACTACTCAGCTTCGCTTTTCGGTTTAAAAGCAGGCACAGACCACATGTAAACAAACGAGCATAGCCATGTTCCAATGAACCTTTTTTTGTGGACACTGAACTTTGACCTTCATATGGTTTCAACACGTCCCGTGGCATGTTCTTCTTTCAAATTTTTATTCAAACACTTAAAGATGTGAAACTCCTTCTTAGCTCAAAGACTCTACGGAAACAGGTGATGGGCCGGATTTGACCTGCGGGCATGAGTGTGCTGACCCTGCCCGGCCCGCGTGAGCAGAGGGTCCGCACACCTGCGTGGCTGTCTTGGTTTAGTTTCCTTACTTCCCAGGCGTGCTTGGAGGAGAATTCTGAAAGCGAGACGCTTCTCCTGAGCTCGGTCTGGAGCTCGCGCTCTCTCTGCTTATGTAACGTTGGCGCTGCACTTCCCTCGGTTTGCTGTGGGGGCCCACACCGGGAAGGCCGCCGTGGGACCCAGCTCGGAGCCGTGCGGAGGCCTGTAGGTGTGCCGTCTCGAACACCACGGGGAGGGATAATGGTTCGGGGGAGAAGCCGTTTAAAAACAGTTCCAATTGTTCAGGCAGGTTATTTTTACCTGCCTTGAGAGGACCGAGAAATGATCACATTGTTATTATTTTTACATATGATATTGCAAAAAAGCTGTTCTGCCAAGAGCAGTGAAATACCAAGTTTTGATTTTACTAACTCAAGGCCAGATGGCCACTGCGTCAGGATACTGTTCTCTTGAGAATCTACTGGAGGCAATGGGAACTCAGGGCTCTGGCGCCTCATTGAAGAAGACATGGCAAGTGCTTCTGCTACAGGTTTAGAAAAGAAGGAGAAATACAGGAAAATGAGAGCTATATTAAAATATATAATATGGTGAGTAATATAGTCTACATAAAATTTTCTTATAAAATCAATGGCGATCACAGTAACTGAAATGCAGGGTCCAAGCAGAAGTAAGGCTTGCTGGGGTGTGGTTGGTCGGGTGATAATATGGGTGTGATAATTTATAGTTTTAATTTGAACATTTCACCTAGAATGTCATAGGGTATGCTTGAGGGTGATGTTGTCATGTTACAGAATGACATGCTTATGATTTTGTAGTAAAATATTTTGTAATAAAAGGGGAGCCTTATTTGTGCCGGATGCTGTACGTTGTTGTCACGGAGAAGGATCTCCCACAGGGTCCACATCCTGGAGTTGGGAGCCACCTAATGCCTGCAGGCGCCGGATGCCCAGCGCGAGCCCCGGTTTTCCCCGCATCTTCCCCGTCCTCTCTGTGAGAGGAGGAAAGCAGGACCCAGGGGTGCCCAGCCCTTGCCCAAGGCCCCACAGCTGATGAGCGGTGGAGCCGGAGGTCCGGCCTGCCTGTCCACAGAGCCCGGTTTGTGCTTCCCCGCCGTGCCCATGGCCAGTCTCTAGGGGCACCTCGGGGTCAGAGCACCCCGGACTCCCCCGCTGAGAGGTGCCACGGGGTCCGAGACACCCTCTGCCTGTGGATCGATGAATCTTACCATTGCCCTAAGGACACGCTCGATGTGAGTGGGGGTCCAGGTGTTCCGGGAGCATTTGTAACTAAAGTTCCAAGGACAGCCAGCATTTAGGAATTCTTACTACTCTGAACATATGTGGTCAATTGAAGAAGAAGATTCAATTCCTGAGACGTTCATCAACCTGCATTCCAGTGGGCTGGAGGGTTTCATGGGCCCCCTGAAATTTTATGTAGGATACTGCACATGTGTGTACATGGGCCCTTTTGTGGGGGCAGGGGAGAAGGTTTCTAATTTCAGTTAGATTCAGGATTCTCTGCTCCCTAAACTCATTGCAGAACCAGTTAGGAATGTAGCGAATTGACTCTTTTAATATTGACAAGCATTTGCTCATTGTGTCTCATGCCATCACAACCAGTGAGAGTTACTTGTAGTCCCACAAAAGCTTGGGCACAGACAGCCCTGTCATTGACCTGTGACACCAGGGGGGACTCTAAGGGACTGACTGGGCGCTGGTTTCTGCACACGAGCCCCCTGCCCCTGACACAGAACACTGATCATTAATGTGTGGTGGCTGCTTGCTGGTCGGAGGGAAGGCCTTCCCCTGTGTAGACCTGGCCTAACTCAGCCATTTCAGGTCCCGGGAGGACCAGTGATGGACGTCATAAAACGAAACGCCTGTGTCCAAACGCTGCCACTTTCTAGCTGTAGGACCGTAGTCCAGTCTCTCTCGGCCTCAGTTTCCTCTTTTGTAACCACAGGGTTGGCTATAGGATTTCTAATATCTCTCCCACCTCCGCAAGTTTCAGGAGCATCCTATTTGGCACAACCACATTGGAAAGCGCTGCTGAGATGAGCCGTTGGGAGTGGGCTAGAGCTTGGTCGTGAATTGCACAACGGCCGGCCTCCGTGTGAAAGTGCTCGGCCGCAGATATGGGTTACTTTGATAACCGTCCCTTGGCGGGCGGGGTGGGGGGAGTACTGCTGAGAAGTGATGATCTCCCGGCTCCAGGCCGGTTCGGGGGCCGGCTGCTGGGAGGAAGTGGGCGTGGCGATTTCCCGGCTTCCTTGTTTGGAGTAAACTTTGGCAGCATCTGCCCGGCTTCAATGTTTGCTTTTCCATCTGTTGATGTGCTTTTTGCGAGCTCTCCTGCCTGCCAGAGAAAACATCTAGAAGCACGACGCTGAATCTGGCCATTCCCTTGGGTCCCCAAACCCCACCAGCCTCCAGAGAGGGGCGGGCGAAGCTGAGACAGAAAACAGACGTGTGTGTAGCGCGCGCGTTTCAGAGGCTCCCAGAGACTCGGGTGGAACAGACAGGGATTGGGGCTCCCGCCCGCCGCCCGCCCCGCCCGCAGACGCACGCTCCGCCGGTGCCGCCTGACTTCCTCGGCTCTGCTGTCTGTCGCATCTGAAGTTGGCACTGGAGCTGGGGCAGTTGCCATGCTGGCTGACTCTGCCGCACGCCTAGTGCGTTAGCTGACTTTGCGGTCCCTGCGCCCAGCTCGCCACCAGCGGCGGACTGCGGACCTGCCGGCTCAGCGCACAGCGCACAGCGCGCAGCGCGCAGCGGCCAAGCGCGGGGCGTGGGCGTGGGCTGCTGCTTTGCTGCCCGGGGACCGCGGACGCTGAGGGCCGGTGGAGCCGAGCCATGACGGACGCCAGCAGCAGGAAAGAGGGCTTCAAAAAGTGCAGGAGCGCCACTTTCAGCATCGATGGCTACAGCTTCACCATCGGTGAGAACTTTCCTCCCCCGTCCGACTTGAGGCTTGGGCAAGCGCTCTTTCTGGTGGTGGCGGTGAGGGCGCTTTCTAGCTGAGGGATTTGGGGGTGGCCAGAGGTGAGGCAGGGCCGTGAGGCGCTCGCCAGGAGCCTGGGGAGCGGTGACAGGGCTGGGGAAATCCTGCGTGTGGCCGGTCGCTGCGACTGGGGCTCCCCGCGGCACCCCGTCCTCCCCCCTCCGCTCTAACCCCACATTCCGGGGAAGCTGCGTCCCTGAAGGGCTAGGTTTCCTTGCTGTGATTTTAGTAACTCAACTCGGGAGAGAGAGGGACAGGGATGGGGGCAGAAAGATGGAGATCGAAATAGCGAGAGGGGTGTCAGCGACCGAAGGACGTGGACACGATAGACACCGAGACAGAGACACCCAGAGGGACCCACAGAGAGACAGTGACCGAGACAGCTAGACACAGAGACACCAATGGAAACACCAAGACACCAGGTCAGAAATAGAGACAGACAGATGCCAACACTGAGACCACCAGACGGAATGACAGAGGGAGGACAGTGACAGGAACTAGAGAGGTGCCGAGGGTGAGACAGACGGGCATAGAAATAGGTTCAGAGAGAGAGAGAGAGACTGGGCGATAGTTTCTGCAGAAGTTAGAGAGAATGTGCAGGCAGGGAGGGATGTACTGTATCACCAAAATATTTGTGAAAAAACTGCTCTTGTCCTCTGATCTCCCAGTGGTGCACTGCTTTCTTCAAACCCTTTACCAGGAGGGGCACAGGAGGGGGTGGGAAGTATCACCCCGGCTATTAGAGGGAGCAGGACCACGGGCCGGGCTGACCCTCTGCAAGCTGAACTGCAAGAGGTCGCTTCTTGACGCTCGTGGTCCAGCGCTGGGTGCTGTTTTCAAACAATGGTCAGGGCTTGCCTCTCACCTTTCCAGGAGGTGGGCGAAGCAGCAGGGCCAAGCCAGGCCCCCAAGCCTTTGAAAATGAGGGGTGTGTTAATTTGCTTTTGGGGGTGGTGCAAGCTTGGAGGTGGCGCAGGAAATTGCTCAGGGCTGGAAGAGACCAAGGGACGGGGGCTCACCTCTGGACCGCTTTGGGTCTTTCTAACCAGGTGGCCCCAGTGGGCCAAGGGATGCACACGTTACTTCCAGAATTAAGTCTAAGCTCAAAATTAAGTCTAATTTTCTTAAACAAAATGCAATCATAAGGTTTGGTAATCAAATATTTCTTATTAGATTTGTTTCTGCTGTGTATAGAATAGTTCATCCATCTCCTCGTGTTGGCTACTTAGGTTGCTTTTAAGTTTTGCCCTAATAAACAACGGAACAAGACAACATCTTTGAGCACATCCATGAATACTCTTTCAGGATAGGTTTCTAGAAGTCCAATTGCTTGGTCCCAGAGTATGTATGTTTTGGGGGACTCTAGAACATATCGCTCAACTCGCCTCTGGAAATAACAGTTCACACTCCTACCAGCTATCTGTCAAGTTACTCAGATGCTCTCATGAGCCCCAGACACTTTAATTTAGGAAGAGTTTGAGAGCCGGAAGGTAGCATCTCAACGCCACCAGCGTTTCACTTCTTTTGTGAAATTGCCTTTTTATGCCCTTGGCCTGTATATTTTTCCTCAGGGGAAGTTTATCATTTATTAATTTGCAAGTATTCATAATGGATAGAGTTGATATTAATTATGTATGTAATCAATGTATTAACTATATAATATATAATGATAATTACTAGATATTAACTAGTGTACTATGTATTATATAACTACTACATATTAATCACATAATAACTATATAACAGTGATATATACCTTATGCACACACACATGCACTTATCTTTGTGTGTGTGTGTATATACTTTTCAAGTGCTGTCTGTCATGGGTATTACAGATATTTCTTCCAAGGTTGAGGACTCACATTCCTGCGATGTTTGTGTGGGGCACTGGCGCTCAGGACTTGCTCTGAGAACAGGCAGATGTCTTGTAGCCCACCCCTGTGGCTGCCAGCTTTGTCACACGGCTCCAGCAGGAAGGAGTAGGTGGGCATTCCCCTCCTCCAGGTGGAAGAGGAGCCTGATGCGATCCCAGTGGTCCCCAGGCCTCTCCTCTTCTCAGATGTCTGATCCTTTGCTGTTGGGAATCACTGCCTCTCGCGGCCTGTTAATTATGCAAACAACTCTCTGGGTCAGAGCATGTCATTGAAGGAACTCATGTTATGTTAGGTACTGGCATGTTCAGAGAATATTACCAGGGGAGGCCTATGAGGACAATGGGGGTCTCGGGGACCCTGTAGGAGGGAGGGGTGACCCACCTTAGAAGGTGGATCAAGAAGAAACTTTCCTTGGGGGGCTCCAGACAGAATCTGTCTCTGAGAATGGGCACTCCTGGGCTAGGAGGAGGTGTCACTTCTGGTGCAGACTGGGCAGGGAGAAGGCCTCAGCTGTGGTTCTCTAGCAGGGGTGGTACTTCCCAGGGGTCTGTTCTCGGAAGCACCATGCTGGGTGGCTGGGTGGCAGAGAGCAGAGGTCGGAGGAGTTAAACGTCCTGCAGCGTGTGGGGATGACCCCTCACAGTGAGGAATTGCCCTGAACATCGGTAGCACCCCCATAGAGAAACACTGGGGGGGGGTCCCTCTGATATGCAAGCCTAAGGCTCCAGCCCCAGCCTCTGCCCTGCCTGCAGGGACTCTGGGATGCTGTGGCCAAGGCTACTCTTAGAAGAGGCAGCTGTGGGGTGTGGACACTGAGCGGGTGCTTCACTCACCACAACCCTGACAGTGGCCGTTAGCAGCCACGTTAGGGGAAGGAACTCCTAAGACCCCGAGAGCAGGCAATTTGCCGAAAGTCACAAGCTGGCTAGTGGCAGAGTTAGGTTCAAAACACTGCTTTCTTGACCCCTCAGGCCAGGGTTTGTCTGCACCACACTGCCTCCCACAGTGGACTTGACCTTGGCCTGGGCTTGGGGACCAGCCCCTCATCTCCATGAGGAGGGATCACAGAGTTTCTGCTAAGCCAGTGCAGGCTGGGGCGAAACCAGAAAGAGTCCATCTTTGCCACAGGTGGGTGGGGCTCACTCCAGGAGGATGAGGTGGAAGAAACCAGGTTTGTTAACCTGCCTCCCACCGCCGCTGCCTGTTCAGCCCTGGGCTCCTGTGTCCCAGGGCCAATGGCCTTTTGACCTCTTTACATCATTTTCTCAGGTGGTGGAGTCAAGTACATGGTGAAGAGATCTTGGACGCACGACTCTGAGGTTGCGCCTGTGCCACATCCAGAAGGTGCTGGGTGTCACGGGGCCTCTCCGGTTCGACAGCTCCCTCCCCAGGAAACCCTCGGGTTGCGCTTGTGCTGATCAGGGAGTGAACTGCTGAGGGTGGGGAGGACGGTTGTCTGTCACTGTTTCCCTGTCTTCTGGGGCTTGGGTGCCTGTTTGGGTTTGTGCTGAGTTGATTCATAGATTCTTACTTTCTCTCAGAGGCTGCCGAAAACACACACATTCTCCCCCAAAAGGGAAGCATTTCTGCAAAACACGAAGCGCTTTTCTTAACCACCCGAGAGGGCCTCCTTCGCTCTCTTTTGGTTCTCATTTTGCAGATGAGAAAGTGGGGCTCTGGAGGGCCCCACTTCCCTTCTTCCCACGGTGATGGCCTCCGGGGTGCAGAGGGACATGGGAGAAGCCATGACCGGTGGGAGGGTGTAAAATGGAGGCGGTGTAGAGCAGAGACGCTGCTTCCCTCAACAACGGACCTGGCAGTGTTGTGGAAAATTCTAGCCCTGTACTGGAAGAGGTGTTGCTAACAGAGGGATGCGTTTCCTGTAGCAACTGCCACCAGCTCCCCTGTCCCCATGTTTCTCTCTGTGAGGTTGTCCCAGAGGAGGAAAAATAAGGGGCCCCTAGACAACAAGCAGAGGCCCAAGGGGCTGGGGAGAGGGTTCCCTGTCCCGCCCTCGGACTGCCAGGAGCTGGGAACTGTGCTGAGTGGGCAGGCCTGCTGGCCCATACTCCTCCTCAAGGAGTTCCTGGGTGGGCAGGGCTCCGTGGGTGGTCCAGGCTGGGATGACTGGGGGTGTGTGCACTGGGGGTGTGGCCCACCCTCCAGCCCAGGCACTGAGGCCTGGCCTCCCTTGGGGCACATGGTTGAGGACTTTCTCAGCCCAGACTAATCGGTGCTCTCGGCCAAGTGTCTTGTCTGGGCAGATGGGGGTGGGGCAAGACCTTCGGGCATTGTACGCCTGGTTGGGGTGACAGTGGGGAGCAAAGAAGTGCATAAGGATCTAAGGTGAAATATCCCACGGCTGTCATCCATCAGAACCAGTTGCTCAGACTCTCCCTGACTCTGCACAACTCTCCCAAGACTCGGGCAGAGCCGGGTGGAGCAGCCTGTGGAAGGACAGGTCGTCGAACCACAGCCCACAGCCCCTGCTCTGGCACTCACCTCTGCCCCCTAGTCCCCATTCTGCATCTTGAGCGAGTAAGTCACTTCCCTTCTCTGAGCCCCAGTTTCCTGACATGTGAAGTGGGGAGCGTGCTCCATAGATTTGGAGCTGTGGTGGGGACCCAGTGCTGGGCAGGGCTCTGGGTGGCTCCTTGTGGTTGGGGGGCTGGTCACCGGAAAGAGCAAGCCATGGTTAGAAGCTTGGCATTTTCAGTCAGCCCTCCTCCCCCACCTTCTCCAGAGAGGGAGAAGGGCTGGAAATGAAGCCTCTGTAAGAACCCCAAAAGTATGAGGCCTGGGGAGCTTTCAGGTCGGTGACCACATCTGTGTACAGGAGGGCCACCACCCCAACCCTCTGGGGACAGAAGCTCCTGTCCTCGGAACCCTCCCTGATCTCGCCCTGTGCTCTCTGGCTGTTCATCCGCATCCGTCATCAAGTCCCCTAGTGAACTGGTAAACGCAGCATCCCCTGAGTTCTGTGAGCTGTTCTAGGAAATAATCGAATCCAGGGTGGGGGGGTCACGGGCACCTCTGATTTGTAGCCCAGTCAGACAGATGTTG